TTTTACTCCCAATAAGTGTATAATCTTAGTTTGAAGGAATGTCTCTTTTGCACACAGGAAGGGAACATAACAGAGATTAAGATGTTCAAGGTCCCTTCACCCCTAGGTGCTTCTCTGGCAGTGAGGATGGAAGAAAGTAGGAGAGCAAAGATGGAATATTCCAGCCCTCCAGACTCTCCTAGTTTCTTTCCATCATTCTTAGCAGTGCACATCTTATCCCTCGGAACAACATGAATTCTTCCAGGATGTGGATTAAGTATCAGTCATCTTGCAGTGCCCACCCAAGCACCTTGATATGGTAGAGGGTCAAGAAAATTGTTGAATGAGTGAAGCAATAAATAAATAATGAATGGTTGTATCATTTTTATACAATATTTTGTGTCTCTGCCTATCAGTGTCTGAATTGACCACCACATCATTGTCAGAGTCCATTGTCATCTTTTATTATGAATTAAAGGCAAAAATTAAATCCTCAAGTACATTTTTAAAGCAAAGATTCCTCAACCTTTTTTCCAGTTGAATAGTTATACCAGGCTTCTCCTTTATTTAAAACAGAACTCTACTAAAAACGTGGACCTCAATGAGTTAAAAAAAAAAAAACTCCTTTTAACTTTTAAACTTTCTATTTTGACATCATTTTAGAGTCACATGCATTTATAAGAAATAATTTAAAGACATCCTGTGTATCCTTAACCCAGTTTCCCCCAGTGGTAACAGTTCGTAAGTATAGTACAATATCACAACCAGGAAATTGACACTGATATAAGCCACTGAATTTGTTCAGATTCTGCCAGTTTTACATGCACTAGTGTGTGTGTGTGTGTGTGCACTAGCATGTGTGTAAACATAAATGACACAGATCCTTTAAAGCCAAGAAACATCATGGTTTTAAAAAAAAACTATGCCTTTGAAATAATGATTTCCTTTTTAAGTAAGTCATTTCAAAAGTGTTTTTCTCATTTGTATTGTCTCTGTTTGGAGTGTCCAACTTGCCTGCCTGTTCTTGAGGTAACAAAGTGTAGTTTTTTTGGCATACTTACTCTGCAGCTGAACTAGCAGCAGCTGTGGTTGGGGTTGGACCTCCTCCCCGCCCCCTCCTCATCGCAGGTCCACACACACACACACACACACACACATGCTCTGATTTTCTGCTGCTTACCTTTCTTTATGCTTGAGTACCTTGCTGACAAGTGCTAATAACAAAATACCCAGAGAGAGTCCAGCTGAAGTTAGCATACATTAAACATTCTGAACTTGTCCTTTTGCTCATAGATTGTGCATAATTAATAATTAAACAGTTTCTGTTGTAATGGGTTGACCTTCCTGAACCGTTCATTATTCACAAGGCAAAGGCATCACTCAAACTTTCTTCCCGTTGTCCTTCACTGTTCCCTAGCTTGCCGCCTGCTTATGCTCCAGTTGTTCAGCACGAGGGGCTGACCAGGTAGTTCATGAAACCTCTGAGACTTGAAGGCTGTCCTCTGTGATGACCAGAATTGCTTACTGAAATGGCCCGGGCAGTTTTTATACAACAGTTGCCTGTTCTGTAACAAGATCCGGCTTGTGTCCCTTTAAGCAGGACACTAAAGTAGATTGGGGACCAGAATCTCAGGTCACGACCTGTGGTTAAGGTTGTGTCCACTGTTTTTGTTCCGTACCTCCGTGCTTAGAAGTTCAGCAGAGCAGTGTCCCGCAGAAGCCCCCCCAGTGAGGTGCGGCCCCTATGCTCCTAAAGACAGTGACTTCTGTTAACAAGTTAGAGCCTTTCCGCCAGTGCTGAGCTGTTGGTGCAACTGCGTCTCCAATTTGTGTTTACATTTTTAGAATGTATTTTTTCCTTCCTTTTGCGTGAACCCATGTTTCACAGAGAAGATTTTTGATAAGTAGCAGCAAAAGTAGCAGGACTTAGAGATCCTCTGACCCCTTGGGCATGGCTCTGTCTTGCTCTAACCCCAAGGTGAGTGACTGCTTCCCTCCCTGGGGGCCACGGAGACGCCACCCCCCTCCCCTATGCACAGATTGGAATTAGATAACAAAATAGACAGGTTCTTGGAGATTTTTTTTTTACATCCTGATGTAAACTAACTTCTAATTTTACTTGTTATAAGCTTGTTTTTAAACAAGAAAAGTATACCTGAAAAATTCTTCAGCGTGGTGACTGCTATCAAGTGTGTTTGTTCCTTTGGGATGTTAACAGCCTGCATGCTTTTGTGGATTTGGAGGAGGCTCTCCGAGGACTCCCTGCCTCCATGTTTTCATGTAGCATTCTTGACACCCACCCACCCAGGCACTAGTCAGTCTTCTGTATCTCAGAAAATTCTCCTCTGAGATACACAAGAGACATGGATTTTAAAATGAAAAGAAGTATCTGGCATTATGCATGTGAGATTAGAATTTCCCCTGCGTGTTTGATGACGGATTCTTTCCAGGCACCACTGCGATGAAAATCCACTCGGTGGTTCTGCAAAGTCGACTTGTGCTGGCATTTTCACAAGTGAAATAAATTATTCATGGGCACCACCCAGTGTTCCTTAGTTTTATATTATGAGGAACTTAACAGGCTACAATATCAGGTCTTAAATAAAATTAACTACCCATGCACAGATGTCACAGTTCCCTCATTTTCTTTCTCATCCATGTTAAAATGACATCTTCATCAAGTTGCCTATAGTTCATCAATTTACTCTTGGTATCATACTTTGAAATGAGGCCCACATCAGCATCACGTTTTACACCAGGATCTTTGTAGAAAACCAGTCTAGAATTTTAACCATCTCAGTAAATATTCAGCCACGTTAAGACACTAGGCTTTTACTTTCCTAAACATTCATCTTAAAGCAGCTGCTGCTCAAATACTTCCAGTACTACCACATCCCAAAAAATTTCAGAAAGGAATGACTCAGAAAAAATTAACTACCTGGTCAGAGTCCATAATTTTTGTACCTCAGACTTTGAAATATCTTTTTACTAATAGTGTTTGAGGCAGTAAAATGTCATTTCTTGAACTGGGCCTTCTGGAATCTCGCAGGTTGGTGATATATGTGGCTTTCCTAAAACAGACTGGGCTGAAATTGATATCATGTTTTATTTTTGCTCTTCAAACTGATAGGACTTCCGTGACCATTTTATAGTTCCTTTATCGAGGACTTGTCATGTTACTATGTGCCTTGTTTCTTTTGAGCAGACTGTTTCTTCAGCCCCCCATTTTTCATGTCCTCTCTATGTAATGCCTGCATGTAATCCCGTGAACTTGGCAAGATTTTATTTCGCTCCCATTTTCCTTTGTTTTTTCTTTTCCTCTTGGAAGCCTGTCTCTACTGATGAGAATTTTAACTTTATGATTACTGACCTGCCTCTCCTCTGGATGAACTGAATCAATTCAAAGAGGACAGGTATGCAAAAACTAAGAAACATTTGGTTCACATTACTTTTTTTTTTAATCTCTTTGGGATTTTTTTTTGGGGGGGGCTGCTTTGACCCCCTCAGTTTCTTTTGATTTAATTGTATTTTCCACCAGTTCCCAATTGTTTGAATTGGAAACAAAGCCTTAATAAGAGTTCTAGTTAATTTTCTGTCTTGTAATTACCGATCTCATTTTTCTGATAATTGGCCACAGCAATTATATGTATATTTACTAATCACAGAGGAGGCTGTGCAATTGTATCTATCTGCCACCATTGATAATGACACGCATATTGCAGAGGTGCTTTTATCATCTTCTTTTTTCCACTACATCAAAGCTATTTCCTCTCGTTCTCAATAATGAATACATGCATGCATTTGACACAGTTGTGTGCTAGAGAAATTGTTTGGCTCCCACCAAATGCTGCATGCTCTGAGTTTCTTGCCTGCAGCGCTAGAAGGTTGTATGTAATGATATATTGCTCATCCAAATGGCCAAAGCACTCCAAAGCACAGTGAGATTAAAATAAGTCATTCCTTTGTTAATTTAAATAGGTGCATGTATCATACTTTGCAGGGCACTTTGTGTGGGGATGTCAGGGAGGAAAAAAGCCGCCGAAAGGTATTTTTAATAGCAAATGAGAATGGATGAGAATGGAGTCATTTGCAGCTGCCTACTTTATGTGGCTCTCTTGTTCCAACTGTAGGTCTAATGAGATGACTGTTAAAGTACTCTGCAGTGTAATTTCATTACATCCTGAGCTGTTACACTATAAACACAGTGGCGCTCTCTGTCATTCTTGGAAAAACTCCTAAATTCTTAAAGCCTTCCTTTGCGAATGGTAATGGGGTTTGCTCCCTGTGTTACATGGCGATTGTGGTTTGTTGCTGTGGTAGTTTCCTGCTCCCTTGAGTGGCTCCCATCCCCACACTATTTCTGCCAGTGGTCAAGGTGGGCGTCCTTAATTCACTGGCTTTCTCCTGTGATGAGTTTGCCTAGACTGGCAAATAGGCTGAAATTCTTTTTTAGTAGACAGCTCTTCCCCTTTCAAAGCTTTTCTATTAAAATGAAAGAAAAAAAAGAAACCCCAACTCTGACCCACAAGATTCAGTTAAAGGCAAGCAGTTAAGAGCAACTGAATATACTAATAAATGTAAATAAAAAGGAAAGTGTAAATAAATAGCAAATCCAGTAAAAGAAACAAAGGTCAACAGAAGAATAATTTCACAGCTCTTTGTTAATTACACAACCATTTGTGTGTTACTTAAATAATCATTAATTTCTCATTTACACTTTCCTACCTTCTTTCCTACCCCGTGGCTATCATTGTCCTTTTTTCACCTCCCTTCCCTCTTTGCTCTCCTGTTTCTCACCATTGTAAAATGTGTGTGGCTTTAAATTTGGCATTTTTACATCAGCGTGAAAGAGAGTATAGACAGTTGTGTTTTTTTTTTTTAATTGGATGATGCCTTATTTTCCTTTCCACATGCTGGTGAATCCTTGTTATACGGTCATCTATATTTGCTTCTTTGGGATGGGGGTGGAGGGTGTAAAGAAAGAGAAGGACTTTTGATGACTTGTGTTTCCTCCCTCCCAGGATTCGCCCGTCCTTCCGGTTGGAGAGTTCTCCGAGCCGTTTGTACATTTCATCACTCAGTGGTGAGCCTGTTTGCAGACATGCCGTGCCCTCAATGTAAAGGATACATGCCATTAACTCGGGGCTCCGTGAGACCTTATGGCTCTCCCTGCTTCCTTTTGGAGATGGGAGGGACTTCCGGGCCTTGGGCAGATGGGGCAGCAAGCTGAAGGAATTGTTTAAGTTATGTAAACGTTATTTACACACAGGGCCATAAACGTACTTTAGAGGCTTTTTCCTGTTTTAATAAACTTCTGAGAATCAGGCTACTTCTTTGAGCACAGATACTGTTGCTATCCAGTTGTTTTGTTTTTTTTAAAGAAATACACAATTTTGTAGCCCTTGTTGCACAGACATGTGAAGCTTATTTTTAATGGGACCTCAAGCTACCCATAAAAATGCCTGTCACTTAGTGGAAGCAGAATAGTTTATTAATTCATCGGATTTTCGGTAAATAACTTTTATCTTTGGTTATATTTTAGACAAAATACTGGTGTCCCATTTCAATGAATTTTGATGTTAGAGAGGCTATGAAAACATGGTTCCATTAGGCCCACTTTAACCTTTATAAGAACTGAAAGCCACAGGATTTAGATCAAAGGGGCCACAGAATCTCTCAGAGTCTCTAGGCAACCCCTTGTCATTTTTTACATCTGAGGAAACAGTTATAAGGGTTCTTTTCCAGCCATCTGCCTTTTTCTTCCCCGTAGAATGAAGTTTTCTTTTATCACCCCTTTCACATCATTCACCTCTCCCCTACTGGGACACACCCGTGTGGCCCTGGAAGCCCCAGTTCCCTCACTGCCATCCTCCTGCCTGCTCCTCACCCCGACATGGAGAGAGGGAGAGGGAGGAGGAAATTGGGAGCATAGAAATGACCGCCCCGAAAGTAGGAGACACAACTGATCGGAAGCTGTTCTGCACATTCTGGAACTCCTTCCTAACTGCCTTTGCTCCTCTTTCCCTCCTTCCCAAGGCCCTCATTTCATCACCCCTTCAGAATCACGTCCACTAGTGGAGGATGAGCCCTTGGTTCCTGTGGTGGCACAAACAGTGCACTCAGGAGTGCTTGCTAACCCGGAATGGCTGTACGCTCTCCCCTCCCCCCCACCCCATGAGCCATCTGCTGATGATGCTCAAGTGGAACCAAGAAATATTCCTTAATATAAATGTCAAGCTTTATCACCTTTTTGACTAAGTGTAATATGTTACCTCTTAATAAAAATGTCTTATGTAGTTTATATTCCATAGAAAAAATATGTGGGGAAGAGATTTTTAACCCCCAACTTCTAAAATTTTTATTAGCACTATTTCTGTTTATTTAAAATACTTATATAATATTCCATAGCTGGTAAAAACTACTTTCATTCTGCAAACATTTTATTTCCAAAATGTGCCATGTTGTTAAAAAGCATACATATTGGTTAAACACTGGAATCCTAAGCTCATTAATACTAGAACCATTATCTAGAAATATGTATTAGTCTCTTTATATCCTTTATGCGGAATTCCTAGTAACGGAAGCACACGATGGGAATGTCCCATTTTGAAATGTACACTTTGGAAAACAAACTGTGCAATTCCTGAGCTGCCTGGAGCACTGGGTTTGGGCATCACCTGCTCAGAGATGTTGGGTTTGTGCCCTGACCACCCTGCTTATCTCGCTGTGTGGTCTGGGACCAACCTGGGGGTGGGGCCCATTCTGAGCAGATAAGGCTTTGCCTGCCTTCTGTCCAAAGAAAATTGATCAACTGTTATATTAAAGTTTTGTGGAGACAGAGGGAGGGATAACCTGTGTTGAAATTTCCACAGATGTCAAGCCAAAACAGAAATGATAGTGGGTAATAGCCTTGTTTTCCCAAGAGATACAGCTACTTTGGAATGTCAGATTAGGAGTGTTACCAAATCCACTGGTGAGACAGCTTGAATTACTTGCTAATGGATGCAGTATTTGAGTGGTGCATATGGTTATTTATTGGGAAGGCAAATGTCCTCGATGTCATTAACAGTTTGTAACTACGGTTCTTATTTACCAAATGATCATTAGATCTCTACTTTAAAAAAAAAAAAAATGCTGTCAGCAAATGCAGATTGTATCTTTTTGTTTTTGTTTTTTCTTGCTTGTTTGAGGTTGCCACATATGAAGAAAGAGTATCTATGATTTTCCAGGTAGCAGAAGCAGCAGTCTCTTTTCATGACTTCATCCCACAGATACTCTGAGTTTAGTATAAATTGGCCATCAGTAGGTAGCTTACCCATGGTTACTTCAGTCCCATGAGTGGGTGCTTCGTCACCTAACTAAGTACATGCTGCAGCTACTAATTATACCTGTTGTATGTCAGATGAAATATTTTACAAGAGGAGTGTGATTCTTTAAGCAAACTTAACTTCCCCACAGCTCTTTAATGAAATATCAACTTGCAGAGCAGCCAAAATAAATGAAAGACAAGATAATGTAATAACCCATTTATAATTTTGTAGCATTATCTAGATGTCTGACCTCTTTTATATATGACTTGTTATTCCGAGTAGTAATGAAGAAATGAGATGTTTTCTCATTTGACCTGATTGTCACATTTCTTTTCTTGTTGTCTTATCCCAGTTACCAAAAAAGAAGTATATGATTCCCTAAATTTATTTGAAATGAATTGATAACCAAGTCAGGAAGAGAACATTGCTGCTTTTTTTCATAATTCATTCAAAAGTAGAATTAGGATAAATTTAAATTATTTATCTGTATTACAAGAGTAACTCCAAAACAAAACAAAAAAAACTTTGTATTTTTGATTCATGAGCTTCCCCCCAAACCTGATTATTTGAAGGCCAGAATAAACGAAAGAGAACACATGCTAATGCTTTGGCCAAGAATTGAACGTGATGAATTTTGAAAACATTCAAATTCCAGAGCAAGTAGCCAGTGGTGGGAATTATTGCACAATTTATGAGCGACACAGATAATGCAGGTTCTTCTCTTACAGCATGCGAAAACAGCCAAAAGAAAGGCCAGCCCCTGAGGAACTGATGGTAAGTAGATGTTTTTAGTTACAGATTTAAAGTATCCACAGACTCCAGAAAGCCAGTATGATCTACTTCGTTTGGTTGGGTGCTCTTGAAGCTCACATCCTCAGATAGCAGTTTTCACTTCTTAAAAACCCATCACCATTTTGAAGCTTCATGCAGAATCTTTTGCCTTTGCCTCACACTCAAGGGTCACAAGTTAATCTAGGTTACTCCTTGTCCTTATTTGCTATTACAGCCTCTCAGAATTCAGAGGCTTGGTAACAGAAAAGATAGTCAGCATATTAAGTTTTTAGTGCAATCCTAGAGGAAATTCTGAATGTGCCATGGCGTCCTCTTGGACTCATGTAGAATGAAATTAGATTGGCTGTAAAAGATCAAGTTAATGTGAATCTTTAGTCTTTCCTTAGAAAGAGGCAACTGTAAGGCTGCAAGTGCTGTGTTCTCAGCTCCAAGGCCTCTTTCTTTGATTACAAATGACAGTTTTTCGTCAAGCGGAGAGGAGCAGAGTCGTTCCCTAACAAAGTCCCAAATGGTCATTTATTTAGTGCAGATTGTTGATTTGACAATGCACAAGCTGTTAGAATAACGTTAGCATCGAGCATTGGTAAATAATAATTATAGTCTGCTCTTTCTGATGTTCTGCATACCATTCCTTGTCTCTAGATTATTGCAATCAGGACGAATTCTGATCAGTTTTCTCTCACCACTTTAAATAATAAGCGTTTTATGATATCAATTCAAAGGTTTTTAGCCTTTGTATTTCATCCTTGTAAATACTCTAAACACCCAAACTTCTGTGTAATACAGTTTTCATCCCCAAATATAATATAGCAGTGTGTTTCCCTTTTACATCATATGTGCTTTCCAGGAAGGTAGTTTTCTTCTTCATGTTACCCCTGGAGCAAAATCTCAGTTTTCAGGGTAATTTCAAGTTAAAGTTCACCCCTAAAACCCCTGCAATTTATAACTGTGCAGGTTGCATGTCTAGAATAAAGTCATCTTTTTTTTTTTTTTTTTTTTTGATGGGGAGGTCTCTGATGTTTGGGAAATTCATGCAGTTAGTCACATTTGAGGAAACTTGGAACAGGTTCTAGAGATGGAGACCCATTTACCTTGTACATTATCATGCTATGGCTGGATAGCTCAGCTATTAAAACAAAGGAATAGGGTTTCATAAAACAGATATATATTTGTGAATGCATGTTTCAGTGCTGCAGTGAGTTGGCCACTTATAAATAAAACATCTACAGATCGTACATGCACTCAGAAATGCATCGGATGTCTGTGTTGGTGGGGAACGCCACTCCAGGGTGGCAAGTCGTAAAGACAAGGCTGAAGGGCACGTCCTGTCAGTGCCTTGGAAGCAAGCATACGTGGCTGGCTGTGTGTGTGCAGGGAGACAAGGGAGACATATTCCGATATATCTCTTTACAACTATACACCCTGGTGTGTGCTGTCCCACATTTTTAATTAATAAATATCAATAAATCAATAAGATACGATGAAAAATTTAGTCACTGGAAGCACCGTCCTATACTTAATTTAACATTATTTCTAGTACTGCTCACAGTTTGATTTGAGTGAGCTTATTCCCCTAGGTATAGCAATAGTGAGGCACCCTGCCTTAGTACATCCTCAGTGAGGGGACAGGAAACAAAGAAGTGTGTGTGACACTTCTGTGGTCAAGGGGGTTGAGCCCAAATATTGGACCCCCTAGGGGATAAGAAAGAAAGAGGGCTGTCCCTGACTTGAGGAACCTGAGTCACATCCTAGGGATCACCTTAAAGGAACCAGTCTCTCTCTTCCTTCCAGCATATTAATGGCTTTAATTTTTCCTTTTCTCTCTCTGTCTACAACCTATTTGATGGTGCTCCCATCTGGAAGCTGAGAGCATTCTCTGGAATGCATGAACTGTAGAGCCCATTTGTCACTGTGGGTGGGGGCCTGCCTTTCACAGAAAGAACAGTTTATCTCCCAAGCCCGGTGACTCCAGCCAGCAGGATACCAACATGGTCTGCACAGCTTGGGCCACATCGGCTGTGAAGACTGCAGGATTGTTGAGATTTCCCTATGGGCCTGCATTTTCTCGATCAGAGGGAGAACATCAGAGGTGAAGTTGGATAGAAATATCAAAAGTTACAGACTCATCAAAAAACTCTTACATGAACTTGAGTGTGTCCCTGACAAGTCTCAGCCTTAGTAAATGAGAATATAGGGAGAGGTGTGCCAAATCGCCCACACCTCTGGGCCCGGGCCGTGCATGTAGCAAGTGCTCAAGTGGTTTTTGTTGTTTTATTTGGTGGAGTCGCCTTACATACGAGAATACTTGAGTCTTAAAAATCATCATCTTTGCAGTTTTTGACCATGTCATTCTTAAAAGATGAAATGTAAAACTCAAGCTTAGGCTCTAGAGTGTTAGAACTCATTTAGCTGTTTAGCTATTTAATTCTCTCTGCTTTGCATGGTTATTCCTAAGATGGCTACAATTTTTCTGTTCTAAGTGGAAGTGTCTTAAAATTGGACTAAGAAATTCCCCTGATGTTCACATTTGGGGGAGGCCAGCCAGGATCCACAGGAACTGGTACTGTTTTCTGGCACATAGCCCTTACGCTACATAAAGAATTAACTCAGAATTCTCATCATTGGCATCCACATCATCTTGAGAGATCTCAGAAGCAGGCAGACAACTAAATTCGATAGATACGTACAGACTATTAGGTGCAGAGTCCTGTGCTAGACTCAGAAGATAACAGAGTATGCCTTGCACATACAGTGTTGCAGAGGGTAAGGCACCTGTACAAGTAACTAGAATAAACCAACTACTAGAAAAGAATTGCAGAGGTCTGTGGGGATCCTCAGAAATGGGGAAAAGCTACATGGAGGAGGTAGCATTTGAAAAGGGCCTTTGGAGGTTGGATTGAATTTTAATAGAGAGTTTGCAAGGAGTCATTCTGGGCAAAGGAAAGGATGGGCGAAGCATGAGTGTGTCGAGTCCCCAGACCTTTTCCGAGCAATGTGAAACCCCCAGTGCTGTCGGAACAGAAATCCCATTGACACTGGCCTGTTGGAGTCACAAACCCACAAAGGTTCGGTTCAGATAGGCAATGCATTCACCACATGCTGGGTGATCCGTTAAGAAATCCCTCTTCCAGTAGAAGGAACCCTAGGATCCAGGTCTGAAAACTCTGACTTGACATAGGAAGCGGCACACCCACCCATCAGTACCTTTTTTCTTGAGTCAGTTCTCCTGAGTGGACTCCTACTCACTTACAGGGAAGTCCTTCATCCTTGGGGAAGATCTCTCTCCTCAAGTTATGTCATGAGTAACTCTTCAAGATATCATTTAAAGCTAGTTATTGCTGACTTTAAGCAAAGGAAAACCAGCCATGCAGGCAGCAAGGGACATTCAGACAGGTAGGAACCCCCACACACATACTGTTTCTGCTCCTCTGATGATGATTCCATAATTAACCCAATTTTAAGTCACCCTGATATAAAGCACAAAAAAGACCTACGTCAGCGCTGCCCTGGCTCTGTGACTGAAGACCAGCAAACTTAGAAAACTAAGTTTCCACACTGCAGAAACTCTGAGGGAGTGGCACACAGTATTCAGAGGCTTCAGACAACCAAGCAAGCCTGTTCCAGCTTCTATGGGGAAAGGGCAGCCTCTGCCAGGCGGAAAGGGTTGATGGGATTGCAACACGAGGGGAGAGGATGGTGATGTGCAGGCGGTGGGGGAGGTTTCCCAAAGCAAAACAGTAAGGATCCTACCCCGTTCAAGGAGAGAGACGACCTGAGATGAAGGCATGGAGATGGAGAAGGGTGTGGCTGGCTTGGCTATTCAGATTATACATTTACATATTTTCAAGTAAAAGGCGCCTGGTGAGCAACCTTTCTGTATAGACCATTTGTATAAACCACAGAGAATTCCTTCTGAGGAATTAATCTTCCTTCTGGTTCCTTTATAGTAAAGGTCAGGTTGATTTAGCAGAGAAGCCTCCCTGCCCTGGTCAGCAGCTCCCCCGTGCCTCCCCATTTTCTGTGTCCTCATCTGAGAATGAAAGGGATGGACTGGATAAGCAGTGCTTGACCTAGGGTCAGTGACTTCCGGAAGTCTGTTAGAGCCCCTGAAATTACTCCAAAGTCGTATATGCTTGTGGAGATGTGCGTTATTTTGGTTTTTTTTTAAGAGAAATTCATGGCTGTCATCAGTTTTTCAAAGGGGGACCGTGACCCTAAATGATGCTCAGCTCCTCACTTCCTTCCCACTTTGATCACAGGAGCTCTGTGGCCAGGACCAAGCGAGCTGCTCGGGAGGGGGGCCTTCATTTGCGGGGTGAAATGCTCGCTGGCACGGGGGAGGGAAGGAGAGGGATGGGCGCTCCCTGTGGGACTCAGCCAGCGAGCTTCCACCAGCTGTCAGGCAGCCCCTTAACCTCTCAGCCTGTCCTGGATGTGGATATGTGGGCTTTAACTCAAGCCAGGACGGTGTGGGCCATGGGCACCTATGCAGTTCAGAGCGCTGTAGATCCTTCTATGCATTTAGAGTATTTCCAGAAGCTTTCCATGTCTAAGCTCTATTTAATGGAATCTATGCATAGTAAGTAATCAGGTCAGAAGAAGCCGCCTCCCGGTTTGAGATCAATCGCTGGCTAATACTTTATCTAGGCCACTTTATTATCTCATGCTGATCCGATTGCCATTCTCCTCCTCCTTTGTACCATGCGCTTCAGCTGTGTTACAAGTACGTATCACATACATATTAAAAACATATACCCATTCTATCTGTATGTAAATGTGTGAGGCACAGCTGGATATTGCAGAGGAGTTTGATTTACTAATAGTTATTATCTGTTCTAGCTGTTCAGTGGCAGAGAGAATTTCAGAGAAACAAGCTGGCGCAGAAATTGTCTTTATGCCATCACTATACTGCTTTAGTAATTGTTTAAAAACATGGGTTTTCTCCTCAGGTTCTCATAATCATGCCGGTTACTTTGTGCATT